CATGCATATGGTAAACAATCATCTCAGTCACGCTGTCTCCTCCGCGGTTCAATCATAACAGCGACCATGTTGATCAGTGTTTTGTTGAACCGTTCAACCAGTCCATCGGACTTCGGGTTGTACGCTGTGTTTCTCATTTTGGAAATCCCCAGGACTTCACACATTTCGGCAAACACACCTGACTCGAAGTTTGTCCCCTGATCGGAATGCAATTCCAGAGGAATTCCGAACCGACAGACAAACTCAGAGACAAGCTTGTTTGCCACTGTCTCTGCCTTAGCATCAGGCAGAGTGTACACCTCCATCCATATGGAACAGTAGTCCCCGACTACCATGATCCAGGCGTTACCACTGTCACTGCGGGGCAGTGGCCCCAGCAAGTCCACGGCCACTCTGTCCATGGGCTCGCCAACTAGGTATTGTTGTAGTGGAGAAATTCTCCTATTTGCAGGAGATTTCCTCCTACAACACAACTCGCCGCACCTTATGAACGACCTCACATCTGCGGTCATTACCGGCCAATAGTACCGTGACTTGACTTTGGCCAAAGTCTTCTTGACGCCCAGATAGCCACTAGTCACACCACTATGTAGTTTTGGCAGTATAACTTCCTTCAATTTCCCAGGAAGAACCAGCCGCCACCTGATCAACTTTCCATCCTCAGACTCCCACCTTCTATATAGGACACCGTCCCGCACCTTCAACTGATCCCACTTCTGACACCATTTGTGGCGAAACGAGCTATACACCCTTTGTGGCGGGAATAACTAGGTGACCCGACAGTCTGACCTGATCGAAGAATGGAACTGGACCTGGCCTTAACCCACCCAAATAATTTTCAGCCTGTCGACCAGGACCGAACCTCTTTAAAAGTTCACCTAGTTATTCCCGCCACAAAGGGTGTACATGTATAGCTAATTCCGCCACAAATGGTGTCAGAAGTGGGATAATCTGTGATTTCGTTGTACTCATGATTTTGGCAATAAAGAAGAGATTTTGTGTTTGTTTGTTTATCCGTTTGTTGTGGGTGTACCTCACCGAGGTACACCCACAACAAACGGATAAACATACATACTGCAAGACAGCAGTTGCCAATCCTGTTGAGAATTCACCTGGTGGTAGTTGGTACGCTCGTAGTGGTGAAGTCTAGCTCGGTCAACCATCTTTATAAGAGTGTCAGACAGTGTCAAGGGTTCAGTGTTCATGTGGGACGGGGTCTCATCAACTGCCAGGTCCTGGGTTTATTGGTGTGACAGGTTGACTGCGAAGTGATGGCGGCTTCTCATGTGCTTATGGGGGATGGGGTCTCCATTGCTTGTTGGAGTCCTGGGTTGTGTGGAAGAACTGGGTCGACTAGTTATTGGCAATGGTGGGGACTGGGGACTGGATTATTCGTCAGACGAAGCAGGGGGCTCAGCAAAAATCAAGATGGACCATGACGGCATACTCACTCTCAGCTCTCTTTCTCTCTCATCTTATGGCTGGTCGCGTATATCATTGAAGTTCACTACATCCCCAGTAGGGAATCTTGCAGACAGTGTATCCAGATGCTGGGGCCCTGAAAAAAATGGCTGAAGTTGCGTCTCAGGTAGATCCATCCTGCATGGCTGCACTTAATTTGTTGAATCCCTTGACAGGTCTTTTCAACCGTTGGTGCACCCTCCATGCAGATGGTTCCCAACACCAGGCTATAGGCTGCCCCTCATCACAGCTTACTCAGCAACGCCTTCAACTTCACACTCCAGCCCTGTCTGCTCCAGGCTGTCCACATGACACTCAGGGGCAGGATGATGCATATACTGCATCATGGCGGTGTCAGGGCCCTGAATTTCTTCTCAGTTAGACCCATACTACATGGCTCTGTTCAAACCGGCGGTGCACCCTGGTTCCCAACACCAACCACCAATTGCCTCACCACTGCTGGTAGTGGATGCCCTCGGCTGCTTACACTTGAGCCCATCCTTGGTCATCGTCTACTTCTGGCTCGATCTCTTGCCTCAAGTTCAAATACTATACTGTATCATGTCCATGGAATTTTGCCATCCCTTCAGCGCTGGCCACAGTGCCAGGCCACTGAGAAACAGTAAACTTGATCCTGTCTACGACGCTTGTGATCCCGATATTGGTTCTTTATACAAGTTTATTTAAAATTAACAGCAGTAAAAGGGGTGACGGGTAAGCAGAACAAGGATGGGAAAAGAGCACCGAGTACTTGACTAGGACTGGAGCTTGAGAAAAGTGGGATGCTTTCACAATGATGGCTAAGAATGAAATGCTGAAAGTTCAGACTGACCACACTGACCACATCGCAGGGCCTATAGGAACCCCAGCGGGTGGCTGTTGCAAGGGCAACCAGTGGGCCTTCCTTGAACCACTGAGATGAACTAGTCTTAAAGGGGCAGTGCTCTGAAAGTGCCTGGTAACATCGCACAGTGGCTTCATAGTGGTATAAAGTTAGTTCTATATTGGGCAAAGACAAAAGAGTACACTGTAAACAAAACCCGTAAAAACACTGTCCATTTCCCGTATTGTTTACGGTTTAGTACCGTTATTGCTCGAACCGTCACAAGAAAGAACGTGCTACGTGCATTTCCAGTAAAACTTGGTGCCCTGACGCAGGCTGGGATTCACAATGGTTTGTATTCGTAACTTTTCAAAACCCCTCCCCTTTCAAACCCTCACAACCGCCTAGTTTTTAAAGCTGTGATTCGTGTGCACTCACGCAACGTTCGCTACGTGCTGATCATTGGGACGTCAAAGCTTTGGTATTGCGAAATTTGAAGAGTCAAGCAGCTAATCCTGCGGTGTTGACCAGCAATAGGTTGACCCCTTTCTGTGGGATCGGTAAAAAGTTGTAAATGAAAATGACAACTTAAAGATAATTTCACCTTAAGTGATTTGAAAACCACTATGCGTGTAAAAGACAAGCTGCAAGACGTATGCATACCCCACTCCCAGCTGCTGCAACTGGAACCTACCCCCCTCCCTACCCCTACACTCAGCTCTGACGCCACCCACTTTGTATTCCATTACTTTACGGCAAATTGCCGTTAAATTTACGGGAAATTCGCGTTAAAATTACGGTCACCGTCATTTTTGGAAACCCGTAACTGACCGTAATTTTACGGTCTTTTGTTGGCAACCCGTTTGACAGTGCTTTTACCGTAAAATTACGGGCAAATTTTTTACAGTGTAGACTGTTGTGAGTAGTTCTGATCACTTTGCCAAAATATGTGAAAGTGTTTATTCAAACATCATAATTAACAAAAAAAGTCAGTTTCCTCAATACCAACCCATTAAATCAGTACGGCCAATACTAAACTTCAGGAGAAACATCACTCTGGAGGGGTTCTTCTACAGAGGGGTTCTACATGGTGATAGACATTTTTTTAAAACAGGTCCACCGTGAACATGTCTCGAAGGATCCCTGTGAGGAACTTGTGTGTGTTTGTACTCTGTCAAGTTGTATGGAACGACTGAGACAGGCTGATGTAACCTGGAATAAGGGGGAACTCGCAATAAATACTCCATGGGGATTAAACGATAAACAATTACATACAAACAGGATCGGAATTTGCTTACAGGCCTTTATTTGTCTGCAAAACAATTATTTTCGCGTTTATATATATATAATGTACAATAAACCCGCAGTCCATTTTTTTTTAATGAATCACTGTACAGATGTTTTAACCTCTCAACTACTATAAGCCTGCCAGGGTTTGCTGGCTGTTTCAAATCTACACAGCAATAGATTAACAGCAGTTAATGACTTGTATAATGTAATTTTGTGCTGGGGAGATGTAAATTTTAATAGTAGGTTTTGCCTTTTGGTGACATGACAAAATTATCAGTTTCCTTGATAAGTTTGTACTTTAACATATCTTTATTCTTTTATGTTTTAACAAATGTATTACCAAAATGGAAATAAATGTTTTAATTTGTCGTAATTATGTGTAAACATTGTGCACATATTAAAAGTCTAATAAAATCAATGGTGTATATACTGTGAACATGTCATTTCAAATATCATTCGTTTTAATGTATCACAAAACTGATTTTAAAGACTTTCTGAATAGGTGGATATGACCCAAGTAAACAATATATTTTGTTCATTTGAGGGTTATATGTTATATTTATTTATCTAAGGTATAATTAAGTTTTATGATGGATCAAATTTCCCTTTTAATCATTTCTGAACAATTTTCATCAATAAAATTGATACACAATTTCTGTTTATGAATGAATCAGTATAGTGCGAAATAGCACTTAGGTAAATTTTATGAAATTAATGAGTGGATATGTATGAATTAATGCCAAATTTGTGTGACAGATCTCAACAGTTGCTGAAATTCTGGAATACTGTGTTTATTTTAACCTTTTTTTTTTATCCAAGCGGATTTTGCATACAAAAAAAATTGGGTTTTGTGAGAGTTTCAAAACATTCCATTCTATATAGAATACCACCTGTTTTGGGAATATGGAATACCACAATTTCAAAATACCAGGTGTTTCTTCAACACATGGTATTTTTAACAGGTGGTATTCCATATTCCCAAAACGGAATGTTTGCCTTGAGTGTTCCTGCATTATTGGGAACAGGAACTTCCAGCAGGGCTCACCTAAACCTGGAACATGTTAGCTACCTCCATGGAAATGCACCGGGAACGCCATTTGATTACGCCATAATTATGTGACATATTATGCAGGAAATAACTCCTTGTGCCAAACAGAGAACTGACGACTTTTTGTACAAATGAATACCAAATGAATTCAATAAACCGAGAATTATTCTAAATGGATTGATGTTACTTATTTGATTGTTTTCATTAGTTTATGTATTTGATGTTTAATTTTACAGGGCCCCCCTTGAATCAGATGGCATTCAGCTGCCCCTCCCCTTTGCAACGCCCACTTTCAGTTGTTTTTTTTTCCCTTTAAAATCCACACATATAGTGGCCCTTCCCCCAATCTTACCAAGAAAAGGTCATTCCATAACGATCATGGCAGTGTTCTTCAGCCCAGATTACAAAAAAGGTAGGAAAAAGAGTGTCCGTAAATTGGGCTGAAATTAGGCGAAGGGTTGCCTAACGCGGGGGACTTGAATCAAAGAAGTTTACCTGTAAACAAAAACTTTTTGACGTAGACATAATATTGTTATAAAAAAAAACATAACCATAATCTCTTATTTTGGGGGATTTCTTTGAACTTGTTCAAGCCTCCACGTTAGGCAACCCTTCGCCTAATGTTTAGCCCCATTTACGGACACCTCCTTTTCTCTTTTTTTCTTGGCTAAATATCATGGTGTTATCATTGTGTTATCACATGATTTTCTGTATAGTTTATTAGGGTAACAAGTAACTGGGTGAATTTTAAGTTTATTTGTATGAATTAATTGACATTTAACTTTTGGTTTAATGTCATCACAGTATCCGGATGCATATATAATTTTTTTTTTTAAAACCCGATAACATCAGGAATTATTGTGCAACAATCATCGGTACTGGGCACTGAATGAGTGTGAATCCAACAGGTAAAAAATGATCCTTTTCAAATCTCTCCAAAAACGGACAAAATGCCGTCTCTACGAAGTCATCATTTAAATTCTTTGCAGATTACTTTGTTAATGTTCAAAGAATGTTTGGGTGCATTGTGATCGCAATTTTGGCAAATGGTTTTCAATTTTTCAAACTTTAAAGGGCCCCTTGGGGCGCCCTCTCGACTGACATCGTCATCATGACTAAAGAGTCAAGCGCCCCCACCGAACATTGGAATATTTTTGGACGACGGGTAAAGGACTTCCGTTTTCAGGTTACATCCTTGCACCTCGTGTACGTGTACAACTTCTTGAACTATTTTACGTTCTCGTCACCATGATGAAAGACTATCCGCAACACCAGGAAGGCATATTATAAATGAAAGGGTGAATTGTCCGCGAATCTTTGCTGAAAATGATTTCAATTTCAGTATTGTTCTTTCTGCTTGATGCACATGAATATTAATAACATTGATACATTGATTTCAAAAGAAAGCCAGTCAACGCATTTCTGGTGCTGCACATGCATGTATAGCAGTTGCGTAGCAAGGTCATTTTGATGAGAGGGGGAGGGGAGGTGGGGGGGGGGGAGGTCCACTGAAAAATTGCCTGGGTTAATTTCACCCAAGAAAGGGTGGAAACTGCAACTACCCAAACTTGGGTTGTTCTATAACCAATTGTTTGGGTTAGGATTTCTGCTAAAATTAGACCAAATTTAATTTGGTCTTGAATGACTACAACTTTTGGTTGAATTTAAAATAAATTCTAACCCAAACAATTGGTTATAGACCAATGGGTAGTTGCAGTTTTCACCCTTTCTTGGATAAAATTAACCCAAGCATTTTTTTCAGTGTTGCCACTCGCCTGATCCATGCTGAAAGATAAACATGGATTTTATAACCGGTCAGCCGGCTTCCGAAAAATCAGAAAGGTGGGGGGGGGGGGGGGGGGGGGGGCTGTTCAAAGCGAACGATGGGCACCATCAAACAATAGGTGGCGCTTTTCTTGGCAGCAGGGATGCTCCAGAAAACAAGGGAACCTCTGAATGCTCGTTTGGACTAAATCACACGTGGCATTCAATACAATGTCTTCGTCCATTTTGTGATTACGTTCGCCATAATTGATTGCTATTGTAGTACCTCAATTTTCCTCATATATAAATGCAGAAAAGTAATCTTCCCAACAGTGTAAGCATCATTCCTTCCTTAGCTCAGAGCAGAATTTTATTATGCCCATGCAAAGACCAAAAAGCAATAAAACATGTATTTTTAGACAAACATATGTCGCAGAAGCTGTTTATGATGTAGGCCATCAGCCTCGGTCCAAATTTTGGCAACCGGTATCAAATGAGGGGAATAATGGTCATAGCGATTTTTGGCAAGGTATTCATCTCCAGAGTTGGAAAATATGTGATAGCATTGCAGCGGTGGCAGCTTTTTAGGTGTTATCACCCTTTTTATAAAAATGTTCATCAAAATGCTTGTTACCACTCTAGGGGCGGTATACCTTGTGCATGCGCACTATAATCATTTATGCCCTGATTTGATACTGACCAAACCCCCAAGCTGATGGCCTAATGCAGTGACATAGCCAGCAGGGGGTGGGGGGGGGGGGAGGTGTGTCCGGACAAATCTTGTCAGCGCGATAACTTGAGAAATACTTAACATATGAACTTCAAATTTGGTTTGTGCATTGTTTTTGGTAATCCTAAGAAGCCAGCCTCGACTCCAGGGGCGCGTGCTCGTTCCTTACACTAATGGCTGTGATGATGACGTAAATGACACTGAATGGCTATTCACAGCGTGCTGCGCGGGCATTTCGAAGATTGCTCGCCGGGCGCACCCATAATGCGCTCGCGCTCGCGTGCTTAGCTTTGCACGTAACGTCACGTACGAAAAAAAAAATATGATTCAAAAGTCGCGAAGCCTGTACGATATGAATTATGTCAGCCGCGTTTTTCGCCAAAAAAACCCTGTATCTGTGGTTGTAAAGGCCAAAAGGGGTACGTACATTGAATACAAATCTTTGCTAATTAACACAACGTCCAAACGTTGTGTTTGAAAGGATTGATTCTTCAAAATCACAACTTTTAACAATTTAAAGATGGCGTCGGCACGTAAAACGGATAAAATGCAGCCCTAATTATAATGTACCGTATTTTGGTATATTTAAATTACACAATTCCAGGGGTTACGATCGCGCAAGGCATGATGGGAAACAACATGGCGCTGCAAGATCGTACCCACGGGGCACGAGGTTGGGTCACAGTGGCTAAAACAAAAGAAATTTTGACAGCGTGATAACTTGAGATATACTTTATATATGAACTTCAAATTTGGTTTGTGGATTGTCCTTGGCAATCCTAAGAAGCCTATTGCATTTGGGGCCATAAGGTCAAGGGTCAAGGTCACAGTGGCTGAAACAATAGAAATTTTGTCAGCGCGATAACTTGAGAAATACTTTATATATGAACTTCAAATTTGGTTTGTAGATTGTCCTAGGCAATCCTAAGAAGCCTATTGCATTTGGGGCCGAAAGGTCAAGGGTCAAGGTCACAGTGGCTGAAACAAAAGAAATTTTGTCAGCGTGATAACTTGAGATATACTTTACATGTGAACTTCAAATTTGGTTTGTGGATTGTCCTTGGCAATCCTTAAAAGCCTATTGCATTTGGGGCCGAAGGGTCAAGGGTCAAGGTCACAGTGGCTAAAACAAAAGATTTTTTTCAGCCGGGGATAACTTGAGAAATGTTTTACATGTGAACTTCAAATTTGGTTTGTGGATCGTTCTTGGTAATCCAAATAGGCCTATCGCATTGGGGGTCGAAAGGTATAAGGGTCAATGTCACAGTGGCTAAAACAATAGAAATCTTGTATTTATTCTGAGATCATAGGGATTAGGGATTAATTCATATAAAACCTACAGAAGACACTTATGCTGTCAATGAACGTTCCATGTGACCAAGGTAAATGTAAGTTGATGTTAAAAGAGTGGTGTTATGTCATGGGAACAGTTACGGTTGCGGGGCATTTGTGTTTGTAAACACACCTGACTTGTTATTTTTGTTTTACTGCCCATCAATAGTAGTGATGCTCAGTTGGTGGTGATGGTTATGAGGAAGGCCATTTCAAGGTGTTGGAACCAAAAAAAAATGGTTTATAGTTTCAAAAGTTTTGATCACAAATTGATATTTTCCTGTGGAATTTGGGTTGCATGAAATCAAGAGCTTGAAAAGTTCGCAGTTCAAAGCATTGTTCAGTTTGAGTTTCACGACTCGATCGAGTCTGAGCATTCAGCACGTATGTCTTTGACTTTGTCACATTAGAAATTGTGCCTACTACTATGGAAAGAAAGTTACTTTAAACTTAATTTAATTGATTACAATACATCCAGTTTGTACTGAGATCCACTTCCAGTTTTAAACAAAAATCGAAGAATCCTTTTTTAATTACATGCATATCACAAGTTCTCACTCTACTCAACTTCTGGTTCTAGATAATCTTTGCTGATTGGCCACTCAGGATAGACTCCTAGAAATGTATATTTTCACTGTACTGGCCTAGAAATCATAATTTATTTCTAAAGCCAAGAAATGTGCATGTCTGCACTAGTTTAGAACATTAACGGTGAACTTAGCGCGCGCCGTCAGATTTCACCTAAATACATGTGCAAATGACGCACCTCGTGTCCGTACTGGTTCGCGCGCATAGCGCAAAGCACGCACAATTAATGTTATTATGAATGTGCACAATTAAAAAAATCCATAGTGTCTTCGCATGAGCATCAGCCGTTGTATGCAATGCATTCGAAACTCGTAGTGGTCTCCCGCCAACAACCATTGAGGGGGTACCTGTGCCCGAAGCCCATAGCCCTACAGTGTCCTTTTGAATTTGAATCGTGCATGTCCACAATTTTAAAAATGCAAAAGAATTTTGAAGTATGACCATTTAGCACTAGTGTTTATGGGAATTTTAATGCAGGTGTGCACCCCTCCATCCACAACATGGCTAAATAGCGCCACCTTTGGACCCATTATTGCATCCAAAATGCTCAGAAGTGTCCCAAGTCCAAGTTCAGGCCAGAGATGCAGTGCCATAATAATTCCCAAATTCCTATATAGAATATAATTTGAGTGTATTCATCATGAGCTAAGCGGACTGATTTGTGGCCTATTTAATAGGGTGTACCCTTAAAAGCACCCCGGATGTTTTCCTCCTTTTTTCTTTTAAAAAAAGACACAGTTTCTTCCCCAAATTTCTTCCCCAGTTAATTTCCTTCCAACATTGACAAATCAAGTCAAATACGAATCGATCTCCTACACAGAGGGGAAGCAATTGATTTGTTTCATTTTGGGACCTTTGAGTGAAATGTCAAGGTCTCCGTTGATAATTCCCGCCTTTATTTAATAAAGACAGCAAGAGGAGACAAGGGCGAATCTTTTTAGGAAACGTGTCTACTAGTGATTGTACTTGACGTTTGATGGGGTTATGTGTTTGCAATTATATCGGATGAGTACGTATGACTTTTGGACGGCGGGCGCGGGTGGGGATGTATGTGAGTACTTATTTATGGGTGAAGATGACTGAATTGTTGTGCGCTGCGGAAGTTCTGAGATGAAGTAAGATTATGAACTTATCCTTCGGCGTTTCTATGGGAAATGGGATTTAAAAAAATCCAAGAACAGCATCAACAAAATTATCTTATTTATAAAAGTGGTAGCTACGAAAGCCTATGCACACTTTCACTCGAGTTATAAATTTAATAAACACGCAACAAATGATAAAAAAATAAAACAATTAGTTAAAAAATCAAACAATAAGTTATAAATTCACATGACCACAACATCCAATTGGTAAACAAAAGGCACATGGTCTGTAACTAGCGAGAAATGCCAAGATACATACACCATGTCAAGTCAACAATAAAACCAAAGGACCGTACATAACCTGATTTTTCCTGATGAATATAGCGCCCTCTTTCCTGATTAAATAGCGCCCTCTTTGTCAGGTTGATTTCGAAATGCACAAAATAAGCATCGTCTGCTACTCGGGAACCTCGCTCGTCTTCGACTTTCGGAAGGAAAAATATCTGCGTTCAGATCGTCAGATAAGATGGTGAAACTATCCATGATGACAACGTTAGTAAGTAGCATTGTACTTTCACGATTGTGCGTGTCGATCTCTTGAAAACCTTAGAAATCGCTGTACAAAAATAATAATTTGACACGGCCTGCGCCTGCACAGGAATATGACATGCAGTGTGCGCTGTATCATGTCGTTGTATATCGATACGTTCATCAAATTCAATGTTTGTTACAGTTTAGCCTCAATTTTTCTGTGCCTAATGCTCTTTTGTGTGCCCCCTTAGACACATTTCATTATTTCCAACATGAAGATTCCCATATCTGGCCATCACTTGTCACCCTGTGCACAAACCCATGGGACTAGTCTGAAAATCTCAGTAAAAACTCAAAATTTGTCCCTGCTAAGTTTGACTTTTTAGGACGAATTATCACTTTCCGATGGCTGATACTATAGGTCATTTAAGGGAAAAATTACTGATGACCAGATATGGGAATCTTTGATTCTTTCCCATTTATTTTAAACTTGATCACATCATGCTTACTACACACAAAAAATGTTGATCATTTGCTGTACTGTCGTGTTGAATTTCCACTGCACACACACAGAGGTGCAAAATAATGTCAACCTTTTTTTGTTTTGAAATATCTGTATTCATGTATTATTAATTTCGTATTTTGAACATAATAAAGATTGTGCTGTGGAATAAAAAGTTACACCATTTTAATTAAATTAGAATATAAAACCGCCCAACACATTAGCTACAGGTAGGCGCTGACATCCGGCAAATTTTTACTTATCTTTCTCCCAGACCAATGTTCTTGAAACTCAATGCTTCTTTTATGAAGTGCTGGTTTGTAATACCTAGCAACCAGTGAAAACTGAATGGTCAACACATAGCAACCGATGAAAACTGAAGCTACTCCGCCCCGCGGCCCGATCTATAAAGCCAATGCAGTATTACCAAATGCAATGTTAAATGCATACATGTAACTTTAATATACTATTGATGCCTGTCAAAACTAACTGAACTTGATGCAGTAAGATTGGGCCATCAGGATAAGTCTGCTTGTGGATTATGAACCACGAGTTGACCTTCCTTATCAGAAGGAACAACTTGTAGACTTGCAAACGTGTACATCTTGGCTTTAATAGCCAGCGCCGTAAATAGCCTCGGGCCAGCTCATTTCCTTCACAGAGGAATCTGGACAAGTACTAGCGATCACTGTGCTCTCACAAGGCCCCCATCAATGGAGAAACCATCGCGTTTTTGTAGCGACTACCTCATGATGGAAATCTGAACAATAGCTAGCACAATGCTTTTGCCATTTCTCTGTGTTTCTCTGTGTCTGGAATTTTTTCTGACAGATGTTGATGAATGCACGTTGGGCACTGCTAATTGCCCACAGGACAGGCAATGCAAAAATACCTACAGTAACTACATGCGTCTTTGTCCAGTCGGCTACAAGTTTGCCTACGTCAATGGGAAGCTGGATTGCGTGGGTAAGTTACCCGTCGATGATGCCCTGAAGCCCCAGATAGTCTTGGAATGAAGTTGAGAATTTTGTCTCAATTTGTCTGGGGTCATTCCCAATTTCTGTCTTTCCCTAAAGTTCTTTGCAGTGTTAGATTTCATCCAACTGCAGAATATTATCGAGTCCGGATGAAATCGGAATCTTGTCTTAACAGACTTCCAAAAGTCTCAATTTCTTGGTCTGTTTAGACTCTGTTCTCAAGTCCTCATTATGTCTCCATTTATTGGGTCTGTTCGAAGTAATGTACTTATTTTCAGTTCAGAATCTTAACAGAGTTCTGAAACGCAAATTAAGTCCAGAATCTTAATTCTTGTCTTGTCTCAATTTCTGGTCCGTTGTTAAGTCCTTATTCTGTACTCAAGTCCCTATTATATCTCCGTTTATTGGGTCAGTTTCAAGTAAAGGTAGGCCTACTTATTTTTCGTTCAGAATCTTGTCCTAACAGTGTTCTGAAGTTTACTCAAATTAAATAAGTCCTGAATCTCATTTCTTGTCTTGTCTCAATTTCTTGGTCTGTTCTTAAGTCCTTTTTAGTCTGTTCGCCACTCCAGTTATTGAGTCTGTTGGGAGTAATGAGCTTATTTCTAGTTCAGAATCTTGTCTTAACAATCACAAGTCTTGTATCAAGTCTTATCTTATCTTGTCTCAATCATTTTGTCTCATTTTGAGTGTTTTTTTTTTAAGTCACAAGTCTTTGGCTTCTCATTCAAAATCATCGCGTACAGTCCTGTCTTGTCTTATCTTGTCTCAATTGCTTCGTCCTTACTTGGGTTTTGAAGACCTTTTCAGTTTGCCTCCAATTATAAGTCTATTCATTTTTTTTTCAAACTTGAGCAAAGAAATTGACTGGAGCGGGGTTTTAACCTGTGACCTTCAGTCAGATCCACAAACTTGTCGCACATCTTGAGTTTGGTTGGCTCCTAATGTGATGAGCCCAATCCTGGGGCAAAACCCGAAGTCTGTCTGAAGTCTTGTCTAATCAATATAAAGTCTGTCCAAAACTTTACAAAAGTGTGAGTATTGAAAGCCTGTTTATCAGCTTTGGCATACTTGGAGCTTTATTTTCAAGGTATTTTTTTTTTTATTTTTCAGATGAGAACGAATGTGGCAACAATCGCTGTGACCCTAACGCCTACTGCGTCAATGTTGTCGGGGGATTCCAATGCAGATGCAATGATGGTTTTCAGGGCGACGGAAACAAATGCGTTCCAATTGGTAGGTACTCAAAGGTCGATTGAAATCTCAAACATGGAGACGGGTTTCTCGAAAGTATTTCAATGAACTAAAAATGAACGTGTGGCATAATGCAAAGACTGTTTCACATCTTTGCTTTTTGAGCAATGAATGATTGATCAGATATCCTGTAAAGAGTCATTGAATTTTTCTGGAAACGCTTTCAAAATCCCCAAACAAAAATGGCTGAAGATATGTCTTCAGACAGAAAATTAAAAGACACTGCTAGTTAAAGACCCGTCACAAGTAATTGCAATGAATTTGTTGCAACAAAAACTTGTTCCAATTATCTTATAGTGATTTTTGAAATTTTTATTGAGGGAACTGATCTTATAACATTTATGCTTTGAACAAAGACTTTAAGCAATAAACCTGAAGTCTTCCCTCCAAATAATTTCAGGGCATTTAGAACAATTCTGTATGGTTTGGGCATACTTGTGCATCTTAACTAAATCCCTGGAATGTTCTGTCTTTTACTCAGATACCACGACTTGCTTGGACAAACCTTGCTTCCAAGATGTGGAGTGTAGCGACGTACCCATCAGTGCTGAACGCGAACTACCAGCAGAGGGCGTCACCTCTATCAAGCAGTATCAGTGCGGGCCGTGTCCACCGACGTTTGTTGGGGACGGTGAAACTTGCAATCGTACATGTATGTACTCCCAGTAGCTCTGAACAGGATATAGTTGTACAATGTTTCAGTCATGACGCATTTCACGTTTTGTCAGTGATTTAATTCGGGCGATTCACAATGCAGTGTGCCACCAAGAGTTTGCCACAGAGAGTTCATTGTCTCAATTTCTTGGTCTGTTCTTAAGTCCTTTTTAGTCAGTTCGCCACTCCAGTTATTGAGTCTGTTGGGAGTAATGAGCTTATTTCTAGTTCAGAATCTTGTCTTAACAATCACAAGTCTTGTATCAAGTCTTATCTTATCTTGTCTCAATCATTTTGTCTCATTTTGAGTGTTTTTTTTTTAAGTCACAAGTCTTTGGCTTCTCATTCAAAATCATCGCGTACAGTCCTGTCTTGTCTTATCTTGTCTCAATTGCTTCATCCTTACTTGGGTTTTGAAGACCTTTTCAGTTTGCCTCCAATTATAAGTCTATTCATTTTTTTTTCACACTTGAGCAAAGAAATTGACTGGAGCGGGGTTTTAACCTGTGACCTTCAGTCAGATCCACAAACTTGTCGCACATCTTGAGTTTGGTTGGCTGCTAATGTGATGAGCCCAATCCTGGGGCAAAACCCGAAGTCTGTCTAAAGTCTTGTCTAATCAATATAAAGTCTGTCCAAAACTTTACAAAAGTGTGAATATTGAAAGCCTGTTTATCAGCTTTGGCATGCTTGGAGCTTTATTTTCAAGGTTTTTTTTTTTTTTTTTTTCCAGATGAGAACGAATGTGGCAATAATCGCTGTGACCCTAACGCTTACTGCGTCAATGTTGTCGGGGGATTCCAATGCAGATGCAATGATGGCTTTCAGGGCGACGGAAACAAATGCGTTCCAATTGGTAGGTACTCAAAGGTCGATTGAAATCTCACACATGGAGACGGGTTTCTCGAAAGTATTTCAATGAACTAAAAATGAACGTGTGGCATAATGCAAAGACTGTTTCACATCTTTGCTTTTTGAGCAATGAATGATTGATCAGATATCCTGTAAAGAGTCATTGAATTTTTTCTGGAAACGCTTTCAAAATCCCCAAACAAAAATGGCTGAAGATATGTCTTCAGACAGAAAATTAAAAGACACTGCTAGTTAAAGACCCATCACAAGTAATTGCAATGAATTTGTTGCAACAAAAACTTGTTCCAATTATCTTATAGTGATTTTTGAAATTTTTATTGAGGGAATTGATCTTATAACATTTATGCTTTGAACAAAGACTTTAAGCAATAAACCTGAAGTCTTCCCTCCAAATAATTTCAGGGCATTTAGAACAATTCTGTATGGTTTGGGCATACTTGTGCATCTTAACTAAATCCCTGGCATGTTCTATCTTTTACTCAGATACCACGACTTGCTTGGACAAACCTTGCTTCCAAGATGTGGAGTGTACCGACATGCCCGTCAGTGCTGAACGCGAACTACCAAGAGAGGGCGTCACCTCTATCAAGCAGTATCAGTGCGGGCCGTGTCCACCGACGTTTGTTGGGGACGGTGAAACTTGCAATCGTATGTACTCCCGGTAGCTCTGAATAGGATATAGTTGTTCAACGTTTCAGTCATGACGCATTTCACGTTTTGTCAGTGATTTAATTCGGGCGATTCACAATGCAGTGTGCCACCAAGAGTTTGCCACGGAGAGTTCATTTTTCCCAGCGCATTGTGGGAGATGGTAGACAAATTCGCAGAGGGGGACATTTGAACTTGTTTGTTTTTCCCTCCGTAGTTTTGTAAGCGTATGTTTTGAGTATATGTCTGCCCTGTCATTTCAAACGGCGTATAGTAGAGTATATCATTTGCAGCTATCCAAAAAGTATTCTTTCTGGCATGCTGTCATTTTGAAGAAAACAATAAAAGAAGGCCATTTCCAAAGATATGTCAAGTGACACATTTTTGGACATTTTCTTTAGTGGTTTGTTTGTAATTTGGGGTATCCGTGTATGGGTAGGCGCAAACGTTTACACGACGCACACACGAGCGCGGTTGCTCTTATTCGTCAGTTAAGTGCGTGACATCGCGTAACTGCAATGAGAACGTATCCCAGATGCTGATTTCAGTCGCAATTCAAAATATGACCTGGAAATTTTTGAATTGAAACCGAGCTCTTAGAATATTGCGTTCTTAGAATGTACAGCATTCACTGTGCTAAAACTTCATCAGGTTAGTTTTTGAGCACTTGTATAATTGTTAGCACTTTTGCAGCTTTAAACGAAAAAAAATTCACAAATGACAATATACAATGTAAATGTACCCTACCTTTAAGGCATACAAAGTGAAAATGCAAAATTTTACTGACTGTCATGGAATCTGTCGTTGCACAAATTATCAAGAATGAAACAAGGAATTCACAGCTTTGTTTTTTACTGTAAATGACATGCTTGTATTACCGTAACAAAATTTATAACAAACGTCAACAGACGAATCTCATTTTATGAATGCATGGATTGTATATATCTCTCTCAACGTAGCCTCAACCATTTCTGTCATGATTGTCGTCGTCGACAAGGGTGAGGGTGACCTTCCGCTCAGTGAGGTCAGCGTCAAGGCCCAGGTGGAGCGCAGCGACGGACAGACCGTTATCATAGCAGAGGCCACAACGGATCTTAACGGTCTCGCGACGTTGCAGGTCCCCTCCGGCATCACCCTGCAGCTAGTAGCTACCAAAGACAGATTTGTGCACAGTATTAAGTCCTACTTTGTTCAACCAGAAGGAGGTATGTGTATACTTACAATGTCTGACTGGGGTTCATGTTTGTGTTCTTGGGCAAGACACTTTACTACAATTGCCTCTCTCCGTCCGGGAGTATAAAGAAAATTTGTGGACAGGGACAAGGTTTACTATGTTTAGGCAGAAGGAGGTACATATATTTATGGTGTAAATGGAAATGGGAATCATGATGTTTGTGTCCTTGGGCAAGAAACTTTACTACAATTGCCTCTCTCCATCCGGGAGAATAAAGAAAAGCCCTTACCAAACTTGACTGCAGTCATTTAGCATTCCTTTAGCATGCAATTAACATGCGAATGCTATGAGAACTGCCATTTGATAGCATTCACAAAAAACCATGTCTGTACTTCCTAAAGCATTTTTCATAGCATTCCTTGAGGATAGCAATCAGATAGCAGTTTTATAGCATGTCAGAAGCCCGAATTATGTAAATGAGCTATAGCATTCGCATGCTATGGAGAATGCTATTTAGGCATGCAAACGTGAATGCTATAACAGCATTCACATGCTATGAGAATAGCATTCGCATGCTATGAGAATAGCATTCGCATGCTATGAGAATAGCATTCGCATGCTATGAGAATAGCATTCGCATGCTATGAGAATAGCATTCGCATGCTATGATGCATGCTATGTGAATGCTATCATGACTGCTATACCGTGACATGGACACGGGCATCCTACAACATACATTTTCAATGTCACAATTTATACCAAAAATTACTTGTGTTATATCAGCTTTAATAATTTCATGTATTGAACCATATTTAACACAGCTAACACCATTTTGAAATTTAATAGACCTATGTATACAGACTGTGATCACAATATATGAAATAAGAAAATTGTTCTTTAAGACTTTATCAGCCTCAGAATTGCTGTACAAACATGGGGACACTCTTTGTTTTTGTTTAACATTGTCATGCTTATAAAAGCAATGGCCAGAAATTTAATGCAACAATTCTCTGCTTATAATTTGAATTATCTTTGAAGCAACCAGTAGTCACTTTTATTCCAGTTGGCATCACAATTAAAAACAGTTATCATCCGATATCCAGCTGATTCAAAAATTCAATCAATTGGATGAAGGAATGTTCAACATCACATACACCATGAACACTAACATACTCAAAGCCAGAATAAAATTGTCTTCATCTAGCCAAAAACTGAATACCCACCATGTAGGAATATAGACCCATTGGTAGTACAAACTGTAGACTTACCAAATACAAGCAGTTTGTGAGTGTGTTGCATACATGTGTATGGAGGCTCCATATTGCTTGGTTCAACTGTTGCTTTTAAGTTGTCAATTCCAAAGACTTTCAGCCAGTCATCCAGTGTATTTTGTCATGTACATGTACAACAATGTACAGGTTGAGTGCATGCATGTGAACATGAAATTATATCCACAAGCATTCATGCCATAAGGTAATGTCCATGCTTTCTACAATTTCTTGCAAAACTAAGTGCAGCCTATACTGCACTCTGCACTGACAATATTCAACTGACTGCAGTTTTCAAATTTCCCACACTGACTGTTAATCTGTGGAATGCACAAGGCCATCACTGATCATGTGACTTGTAGTCCATGATATGATTGGCTTTTATATTGAAATGCTATTGTGCAGGCTATGTTTAGCCATGGAATGCTATACTTTAAAATTATTTTACAATTGACTGCTAAATTGGAATGCTGTACTCAATTTGCAGTCCTCCCTCTTTCACTTGCATGCTATGCAGAATGCTTTGAAGCTCGCATGCTATTTGGAATGCTATTTTCATTCTGCATGCTATTGAGAATGCTATATGGACTGCTTAAGTTAGCAGTCATCCAGTCATCATTTTTTGTGAATGCTATGTGGATGCTATAATAGCATGCACATGCTGTTTAAATGCTATTGAACTGCTATGCACATGCTATTATAGCAGTCTAGTTTGGTAAGGGTGTTGTGGACACCAACAGGTTTTACTGTGTTGAGGCAGAAGGAGGTACATATAGTTATGGTACAAAATGGGAATCATTGTGTTTGTGTTCTTGGGCAAGACACTTTACTACAATGGCTTCTCTCCACCAAGGAGTGTAAGTAAATTTTGTGGAAAGCGAATAGTCCTACTATGTTCATCCAGAAGGAGGTAGTTATAGTTGTGGTTTAAAATGGGAAGTATGATGTTTGTGTTCTTGGGCAAGACACTTTACTTCAATTGCTCTCCGCCCAGTAGTATAATGGAAATGTGTGGACAGCGACAATGTCTACCATGTTCAACCAGAAAGAGGTTCATGTATGTGTAGTTATGGTGTCTGATTGGGCTCTTGATTTTTGTATTCTTGGGCAAGATAATTTACTGTAAGTGCCTCTCTCCACCAAGGAGTTTAAAGAAAATGTGCGTACAGCGTCAATTTCTATCATGTTCAACCAGAAGGAGGTTCATATATGTGTAGTTACGATGTCTAATTGGGCTCTTGATTTTTGTGTTCATGGGCAAGACACTTTACTGTAATTGCCTCTCCCCGTCCAGCCAGGGGTAAAACTGGTTACATTGAGGGTAGAGACCAGGTTGAGTTGATCTCAAAATGCTGCCAAAAACTAATCTCACGGCCCGATAATCAAGGGTAATAATTTGGAAGAGCTTTGAAGCATTTGTATACCGTTAATGTTATTGGTGTTTAACATTCATTTACTTGCTTTTTGTGACTCACCACAGGGAACGTTGTCCCGATTCCCATGAAGAGCTTTGATGAGTATGCGGCTTTCCGCTACAATAAGGACACCTCCAAGTACTTTGAGTTTGGCAACATCGACGAGGACAAATCTGGCTTCCGACTGAGTTTACCTGAGGGTAGGTTTTGATTTTGTCCTTTTTTTTTTTCTTTCACTTAATCTAAAATAATGGTCTCCACTGTATCAAAGCCATATTGCAGGACTTGGTTGCTGTTGCATTGTGCATTACCATCAGTAAAAAAAAGTTAAAAACTTCAACTTGGTTTTTAAAACAAAAATGGATCCTTTACATTATTGCAGTTTTTTTAAACCCACCCTGTATTTTAATTCTAAAAACAATTAAGCCACGAGCAGCCTGCTTCCACTTGGACCCCAATTTATTTCGTAAGTTGCGCTAAATTTGGATGCGGAACATTTCAATTATGACAATTTCATGAAAGTTTCTCAGTGGGTAAGTCAGCGACTTTGCGCTACAAATTATGACATAACTAATGCACAATCATTTTAGGCGGCGTAGGTTGTGGCGAAGCGACTAAAAACGACCTTTATTTTACCAGTAAATCCCATGATTGTTTTGGAGTCGGTTATTATCAAGGCTGATACAAGACACTCACAGCTTTGTGCGCAAAGTAGCATGAAATTGCAATTTTACTTGTGACAAAGTGTTTAGAATTGCCGCACAATTCAGAGGAAAGTCGGACAAAAATTATTTTCAAAATGATGGGCGGAGCTGATTCAACGACTGTTTCATGAACGAACAAAATCTCACACAAACAGCCGTCGTTAATGCTGTTATTATCCTCGTCCAAGATATTTAGATTATTTAAAACGTTGTGATGACCAATGACCAATGGTAACCAAGGTTTATCAATGTTGTCCTACAGGGTGAGTAAAAAAAAAAAAACGCATCTGAAATGGCAGGACCAATTTTGGAATGAAGTTTTGCCTGTCGGAACATTCAAAATGTAGAATAAGAAATCCCAATCAATGAGCTTTCTTTTAGTACAACAATCATTAACATCAGTCATGTACTTTTCAAGTTACGGCATTTTGAACACATGACACCATTTTAAAGTTCATTCCGCGTATCACCAAAAACACACGTGTTCTTTCAGCAAAACGAAAACAATTCTCATGCATGTCAATTGTATTTGTTTTGCTGAAAGAAAACTTTTAGTGAAAGAGCACTTTTTGTGATCCGTGCAATGAACTTTAAACAGTGGCATGTGTTCATAATGCTGTAACTTGAAAAGTACATGAGTGATTTGAAATTATTCTTGTGCTAAAAGAAAGCTTATGAATTGGGCTTTCATATCCTAGATTTTGAAAGTGCTTCAGGCAAAACTTCATTCCAAATTGGTCCTGCCATTTGGGATGCGTTTTTTTTTTACTTGCCCTGTAGTGCGTTATTGTCAGGTCTCAAAACTTAACTGTTTGCCCTTCCACAAATTCAACTCAGTAAGACGGGAACAGCACTGCAAAAGATTCACTGACAAGACTATTTGCTCTTGATGTGACCAACTGAATCAAATATGAAGATTTTGCCCCATGGTACAAGCCTAAAAATAACTCCGGATTACTATGTCAGAGCAGTTTGTCTGGCTCACAGATGGGGAGGGATTCAAGGCATAATCAGCCACGGCAGCGATCGTTTATCAGTTCGCAACACTCCCCAAACCTTGTTTTCTCCCTTAAACTTTTTCCATTATCACTTTATTGGCTAAAAGTTTTACTTGGCAAGTACTGTTGCGTATTTTGAATGTAAGGTTTCATTTTTACACAGTGGTTTTCAGTAATTTAACTGTGTGACAGACTGAATGGGAAATGAATCAAAGAACCGTTGGGGACCATATGTATTGAAATTAAATGGTCTTGTTTCTGGTCTTCTCCTTGTTCGTACAGGAGCCCTGAGAGCACGTGACCGCACCTTGGTCGAAGTCAACTACAAAGGAGTAGACGTCTCTAGCCCCGACGCCCTGGCAGCGTTGCCGGACCTTGGCAAAGTCGAAGGAGGTACTCTATCTGCCGTTAATTGTGGTTGTGGGGAGTGGGGTCTAGTTGGTAGAGTTTACGAATCACGATCAGATGGTCAGTGGTTCAGAACTTGCTGCTGATACATGCATGTGTTGTGTTCTTGGGCAAGCCACTTTACCCCCACTTCCCTCTCTCCACCCAGGAGTATAAATCGGTACAAACATTACAAGGGCGTCAATCGCTGCGGGGAAGGGGACATTGAGGGGGACATACCTTGATCAGAAGTAACCCTTGTAGTGTGTGATTCGGGCTAAATTACAAGCGGGCCCTGGAAAATGTTGGATTTGAGACACTCTGTAGTGCGAGGTGAAGCAATTTCTGATCACTTTAACAAATATTTTGGGCATATTTTCATCATTTAAACAACATTTTCGAGTTAAGAGTCACTGAATCAGCTCTTCTGAGTTATAGGATAAAATGTAGGCCACAATTGTTATTCAGGGACCAAAAAAGGTGGGGGGACAAACAATATGACATGTGTCTTTCCACCCACTTTAAAAAGTGGGGGGATTGCACATGTCTCCTCCTCTTCCCCCCCCCCCCCCCCCCCCCCCCCCCCCCCCCCCCCCGGTTCTCATCCATCAACGGCCATGCAACATTGCCTTACAAGCAACCTGCAATGGACTGGTATCACACCCAGGTAGAATAGAAATGTTCTCGGTCGTTTCACACAAAGGAAACCGGAGATAAATGCTGGCCTGATGAGCCATACTGCTCCGTTTACTTACTTCACTCTGCAATAACTCACATTGGTGATTGTGTCTTTGTGCCACACAGAGCCAGGTCAGCGCTTGATCCCTCTAGGGGCTGCGGAGTTGTCCTTACTCGACGAGCAAGGCCGCAGGGTTAACCTGAGGAGGCCTGCCTCCATGACGTTCCTCCTGAAGGATTACATGTACATGTACATGGAGCAGCTGGGTGTCGGTGAGACTCTGGCAGCGTACTACTTCGATGAGGAGCAAGGTGGGTATCTTAACTTTTATTGTTACGGCACTAATTTAATAACCACATTTTTCTCTGAGGTATGTGTAACCGGGGAGAGTGGAATTAGTTAGTTTTTAAAATGTGGCACTCTCCTTCTGTCCGAGGGGTTCCACTAAAAAATGATTTGGGTAGAGCGAATGTTTTCTGTTGTCTCACAAATATGAAATGGTTTATTTATAATACAAATAGAGACAATATATATACAAATTATTAGGTATTTACACAAGAATTATATTAGAAACTTGGTTGGGTGTATAAAAAACGACAGTCAAAAGGGAAATGGCTAATGAAGTAGCTCCAAGGATATTAATCTGAAATGCATAAAAACAATAAATGTCTAATGAATTATGGGAATTACTGTGGCATAAAATGACTGTTGCCCAAATGGAGAATTATTTAAATGGCAATTATGCAAGAATATGGATATTTTATGTACATATAATGTAATTTTAAATCCGAAAAATAGAAATGAATTATTCGCCAAGTTATGTTATAAAATGAAATCAGAATATAATACCATGCCCTAATAACAAATTCCCGAATGATCATAGCAATAGAAAACTGATAGTTTTGGGGAAATGGGAAAAGTCTATTTCAAAAGATAAATGAGAACGTAAATATTATGGCAACACTAAAATTTCAGTTGAAGTTAGTGTACTTGTGTTGCTCATAAGTTCCAATTTGTGTTTGTTTCAAAAGGAAAATTTGAAGTTCACAAAAATAAAGTGCTTAATAACATTGTTTTCCGAAATGCCGAAAAATATTAAAATAGTAGGAGATTGTGTTAAAATAAATGGACGGTGTTTACCCGAAATGTTTAAAGTATAAAATAAAGTCAACAAAAAATCCTTTTTGCCATCTCATGCAAGAATTAAATAGAGAATCATTAAAATCATTCTCAAAAATACTTGCAAATCACGACGACAGATTTGTTTCAAAAGTTAATAATCAGTCGTGATTACAAGACAAATTTCCGGCCGTGTCCGTTTTGACGGCCTTTAATTCTGGCAATAAACCAACATACAAAAGACCAGAATGTTTCATACATGATGGCATAAAAAGATTTTAGGCATAAAAATGTTTGAGGCATAAAAATGTTTCAGGCATAAAAATGTGAAATATCAGACAAAGGATTTACTCACCACTTGGGAAGATCTACGTTCATGCCTACTCCGATGTGAAAATCGACGATCAGCAGTGAAAATACAATGTAGATGTAAATATTTTACTGCTAGTATAGGGAGCCTCTCTCAAAATTGCAATAAAAGTGGAGAGTGTAAGCGCTCGTAATAGATGGTCTGAATTCAACGATGTGTTGGATCGAAATCAACAATATTCCGCAGCAGGCCCTACAAGAAAACTATACCAAAACGCCCGGAATGTCAACTATTCCGCTTAAACAAAGCGCGTTGGAATGCAAAACTTGCACGCTCGCTACGCCCATCGCATAGTTGAGCCAAATTCTAGGCGGCGCGCGCTGTTAAAAAAAGTTTAGTTGGCCGCGAGAGGGCGCTAGGCAAAAAGCATGATCGCAATGGCTGCTCACATGTGAATCTACACAAACACGAAGTTACAAAAGTTTGGTATGAAATAATGCTGGAGTAAGGAACCAGTCGGGGAAAAGTAAGTACTGCAACCCGACCTGGTTACAGTATGTACTGGTGAAAATTCCTTTAGCCGTGCTTACTGTTTTTAATGGTCGCCATGAAATCGATAGAGGCTCAGTTAGCAGAAAATTGTGTGCTTAGCAGTGTGATGAAATGGGACCCTGGTCATTTTGAATCTGGCATAGCAGTGGGCGCTGCAAATTAGTTGAGATAGATCGTACTTTACTGGGTGCCTGTTGCACTTTCAAAATCTAGGATGTGAAAGCCCAGTCAGTGAGCTTTCTTTTAGTATAAGAATCATTCAAATCACTCATGTATTTTTCAAGTTACGGAATGTTGAACACAAACGCCGTTTTAAAGTTCTGTTCACGGATCACAAGAAAGGTAAGTGTTCTTTTAGCAAAAACGAAAACAATTCACATACATCCGTGTGAGAATTGTTTTCCATTTGCTGAAAGAACGCCTTACTTGTTTTGTGATCCGTGGACAGAACTTTAAAACGGTGTTTGCATTCAAAAGTTCCGTAACTTGAAAGGTACAATTGAATGATTCTTGTACTATGAGAAAGCTTATTGACTGGACTTTCATATCTTAGATATTGAAAATGCTACAGGCAAAACTTCATTCAAAAATTGGTCCTGCCATTTGGGTTTCGTTATATTTTACTCTCCCTGTAGTGGTTCTTCACTGCTGGCATACGCATTCGGTTATTTTTCTTGAATTTGCTTATTTTGATTTTGCAGGCAAGTGGATCAAGGATGGTACGGGCACGATCAGGGATAGCGTAGACGGACCCGCTTGGACCTACGACACCGACCACTTCACTTGGTGGATCGTTGCCGTCATGTACACTCCAACTAAATGCCTGAAGGTCAGGACTTGCTACGATGCTGGCTGCACGCGACCGGCTGCACAGATACCCATCATGTAAGTCGCAGCAAGGACAATTTTTTTTTTCCCACGTGATTGTGTATTTAAAACGCACAAAAAGATCGGGAGGGTTTTAAAGAGGTTGTGGAATGCTCGAAGACATTTCCGTCATGTTTCGGGTATATGTAGCCGAAGGTGTGATGAAATAAAAACGACTATTGTGTCTGTCATGAAATGAGTACAAAGGTACTTTTGAGAGCTGTTTATCAGGTCCTGTTTTGACCTGAACGTGCAATTTGTGTAAAAGTCGTCGTTGGGGGCAGCAAACAAAACATAGTAAATCGTGACGTAATAAACAGGACTCGTTTATACTACGCTGCATCGGAAGTCCTGCTTACTACGTCACGATTTACTATGACACATTTTGGTATGACATCGTGCATTTGGATTTTGGATTATGTTCCTGTCTGCATAGTCTTGGGCTAAAGCGAGCATGTGAGGTATGCTCGTAATTTGTCAGGGAGGCATGCCGAATTCGCCAAGAGTGAATTTGATTTGTCTCGTCGATAGCACCCTCTACTATTGATGTCCGTTGCCTGCGCTTGCCAGCTGCGCCATGCATCACCGCTGGGGACTGGCTGTACGTTACACAAACATAATCCAAAATCCAGTCTCGCCCAAAGACTACACAGACACTCAGTGCGTTCCACAAATGGAGCTCTCACAATCCGTCACGAAACGCAATCTACCATTCATGAACAGGGACCACAGTTTTTATGCACCAAGTTGGTAATTTTAAAATAGCTGTGAAATAATTTCAGACTTTCTTCTTTTTTTTTTCCTTCTCTTTTTTTCTCTCCAGAATTTACGGAGAGAACTTCTTCCTGTACGAAGAATACACAACTGGGGCGTCGGGCTCCATCTGCGCCAACGTCTTGAGTGACAGAATGAGCCAGGTGGGCGTGCTGCAGAACTGCACCGGGGAATCGCAACTGGTGACAGCCAGTACGGCCCGGGACGCGCAGTGCGGCGACGGAAGCAACGGTTGCGAAGTTGTCACCTTCATCATACCCGGTAAGCTATCCGTCAACAACAATCATGAATTGCAGATATTCCCATAGTTAAGTCCGTACTAAATTCAAGTCCAAAACTGGGAGCTTCCAGTACTTTTAGGCTGTCGATTTTGCACTAAGAATTCGTTTTTATCGACAATGAAAAACAATAATTTCCAGTGGGAAAGTAGTTGTCCAATCAATTTCATTTTAAACCTGGTGTTGTACTCTTCCAAATAAGCATTAACCTCAAAATTTGAAGTTTATTAATGTTACAGTCAGTTTGTGGTGGACAGTCACGATTCAGTTAGTCATACTGCATTGGTACAAAATATTTTGGAACTACATTACTGACGGTTTCGAGGTATCAAGGCCAGTTTATACTTGTTTGGAAAGTGAACACGAGTACGTACAGTCGAACCCTGATAAGAAGAGTACTGTTAATACAACATCCTGCTCATAGCAAGCAAAACTTTAGGTCCCAAGTCTTTGTGTTTCTTTGTTTTCTAGTACTGATAATACAAGGTACCTGTTATAACAAGGTAATTTGTAAAATCCCAAGGACCTTTATAAAGGTGTGTGACTCCCCGGCAGGTATTTGTGCTCTGAATTTGCCAAAGTTGGACGTACTTAGACTCCGGCTAATTTCACCGTGAGTGTCAAGGCCTTGTTAAGAGCACCGAACTCATGCTCTGGTGTTTCAGGGGCAACAGTGGTGTGGGTTCAAGCTTGGGTCTGGACATTGTGCCCTTCAGCAAGGCACTTAACCATTGCTTCGTCCTTCGGATGGGACGTAAAGCCGTAGGTCCTGTGTGTTGTATAATGCACGTAAAAGAACCTATTAACACTTTTCGCTAAGAGAAGGGGTTCGCCCTGGTGTTTCTGGCAAGTGCATTTATTCTCATACATAATGAGGCTGCACTTTCAAGGAAGGAAGGAATACATTTTTGTGACGTCAAATTTGCTTCAAATTTGCATTCTCATGGCTTTAATAAACTGAGACCCTCTCGATTGATATGGACTTTCTCACCTGTTCTTTTGCAGAAGGTGTGTCTGGAGTGTGCCCCAACCCCGGAGAGCCCCTGAACGGCGTGCGCTCGGGCAACAGCTTTGGCCTTGGCGATCAAGTCTCATTCTTCTGCGACCCCGCCTACCGGGTCAATGGCAACTCGCAGCGCGTGTGCCAGCAGTGCGGCAGGTGGAGCGGGTTCCAACCTTTCTGCACGCTGGCCAACGAGGGCAGCGACAGCTCCTTTGGCAGTGGCGACAGCTCCATTTAAACAAAAAAGAAAGAGGTCCAAAACCAGACCTTCCCGGTCGTCATGCAGTGTCGGGGTAATAGGTAAATCTCGGTAACGCAGTTGGTGAAGTATCCGGAACAGACTCATTCAGCAACCTCCAATTACAAGTCATTACTGTGGTGAAACCATGCTCACTTGCAGGTCGTATGCGTGCACTCAATGCTATGTCAACCGAAATGGTTACCACAAGGTCATCTACGAAAACGTGCGAGTGTGGTTCATCTTGAGTAATGGCTTGTAATTCGCAGAATTTGCCTATACAGGATTGCCCACAAAAAAAAACCAGAACGGCATGCTTCCACTACCTTGAGACGCAAACCACCTGTACCAATGGATGGAGAATCTTTTTAGAAGAAATATGCTACCAAGATCTCCCGATTCGGTCCAGTAGTTTTTGCAGCAGAGCCTATTTTGTGAAGCTTACATCTGTCATGTGGTTACTATTGCATGACAATGAATCCCTCTGTCCAATTAAGCCACACGGTTTAGTAGTTCATCAGGACAAAATGACTCCCAACTTTGTTTCACAAACTAGGCTCTAGAACAAAAACTACTGGACCGAATCGGGCGATCTTGCTATCATTTTTGTTTTAACAGAATTCCCACTGCATTGGCATAGGTTGTTTGAGTCTCAGGGTGGTGGAAGTACGCTGTTCCATTTAGGGCCACCCTATAGACCATTTAATGTATCACATCCAGCTCTAGATGACAGAGTAAACGTCTATATTTTTAAACCACCTATATTTTCAAGTGATAGACAATTTAGTGCGCAGTAAATAATAAGTTTAGCGAAAGTTAGTTTTGCTTGTCCAAGTGTCCTTGGAAGAAATGGTCACATGACATGTTTGACAGCGTTTAAGAACAGTGATTGCTAAATGGGAAAAGCAGTCTTGAAATCAACCGTGGATTTCACAGAAAAAAAAAAACAATAACAATTCCAATCAGTATTGTCTTTGTAACAAATGTTAGCAATTTTCACTTTCCATGGCACCTTATTTACAGAGGCAAGGCATTTCTGACTTGGAAAAAAAGTTCCCTAAATATTGGTATAAATATACGTAGTTGTAGATCCTGATCGAAAAGTTCGAAACCCTGACGTGTGTGTGCTATGCCTTGTATCAAAGGAACACTTCTGACTATATATTAAAACGCAACTAACAGATTTAGGAGGTATATATATATTTGACAAGTAATCCTAATGTCAAGAACTCGCGTGTTCACGTTTGAATGTTGTTTCTAGATTGTATTAGAACGATTGGCTGTGCTCTTCTAAGTCAACAAATGAATGAATCAACGTTGAAGGTTTATAGAATGCTGTTATTTTTATCTCATGTCTGGACGAAAACATTGTAATGGATTAATTTTAGGCCATAAAGTGTCTCCTCACAGTGGACTTTTATCAAGTCTCATTGTACATTTCTTGGAGTTGAATAACAATTGTGAATTGCTGAATTCAGTATATCAAGTGTGGATATTCTATCTTTCTCAAGTACATACCGGGTGATTCAGAATGATCTGGACCCAGATTAAAGAAAATTATCAAAAACATGGAGCAAATATCAAAACAAGTGCAAATGAGATGTTTTAGGCTGGTATCTTAGATATATTTGGTGAAAGTTTCATGTATATCCATTGTACCATTTTGAAGAAAAGCGCTAGCAAAGAAGTTAGAACACACGCTAAAAAAACACTCTGACCACGGTTCCATGGTTAAAAATGTATTGAAATCGCGTACTGATGCGAAGCAGTGTAATAATAAAAACCTAGTCATGGTGACTGACTCACTTGAAGTTATCATTGACACATTAAAAAAAAGCAAAACCAATTCCGTGTGCAGACTGGAAAATGAGCCACTTCAATGAAAATGGCATAACTCCTCACCACAGCCACTCATTCGAAATATTTCAAAATTCCTGTGGGAAGACAAGGTAATAACCATTCATATGAAACACTCAGCTTTTTCTCAACCTATACTCTAATGGTGAACTTAGGTCCTGATCATTCTGACTTACCCTATATGCTGTTTTTCTCTGTTGATGACCAACTCCTTAAAATGCGAATGACACCTGCCAGCCATTAAAAAAAAATACATGTACAACTTTCTGATGATAATAATATGTGGTGCTTATATAAAAGCGCTTTAAACAAAAGGTCTCAAAGCGCTTCACAACTATTACCCTGTTCATCAGGCCATGAGACCAGTTTCTGCAGCAGCTTAAGATCAGCGCATTCTAGTCTCTACCTTCACAGGTACCCATTTATACTCCTGAGTGGGGAGAGGCAACTGTAGTAAATGTCTTGCCCAAGAGCACAAGCACCATGTTCCCTGTCAGGGTTCGAACCCCATGTACCACAGCACGTGAATTGAACACCATAACCACTGGACCACAGCACTTCACTAATGACATTTAAGAATTTCTTTAAACTGTTAAATTTAAATTTGTCTATATTTTTTTTTTAAAGATAATTGAAAACTTCAACACCATTCAAACCAGACTTTTAAAAGAACTAAAATCGGTCCTATAACAACTTTCAGAGCACATAAACTGCCAAGGTTTAACAATCCTTCAGATATATTATATTTATCCAGTTTTAAAATTGTAATTTTTAGCAAACTATAAACAGTCAAATAATTTTAGAGAAATTTATTTTGCTGCACTTATTAAAAAAAAAAAAAAAGTGGACTAATATGTGGAAATAATAGTAGAATTAAACTAAAATAATGATAAGATTTTAAGATGCTTATTGATTTCATAGACCCCGTTAAATGAATATTTTTTCCATCTGTATTTTCGAATTAGGACTAATTTTTGGCAAAAATTATCAAAATTGTCAAAAATTCAAAGTAAGGCCAAAAAAAAAATAAGTTGGTCTCTGGTCAGCGCGCGCGTCGATTTTAACCATGCGCGTCGATCTTTTTTTTTCCAAAATGTTCCGCGGTAGCTCCAACAGCGACCTCTATTTCCGCACCTCCTCAAATTTTTTTACCAAAGAGCACCAAGGAATGGGAAATTGCACCAAGGCAAATGATTGAAAGCACCAAGGCAAATTATGGAGGACACCAATGTACATGAGGACACCAAAAAAGCAAAATAGTACCCACCTTGTCTGTGCAATCCAAGCTTGAAGAAAAAAAAAAAAGCCAAAAAAAAAAAAAAAGCCGCGTGGCCGCGTCAATTCCGGAACTTTGGTCTGACCAGAGACCGAATATTTTTTTTTTGGGGCCTAACAGACTAATGCCGTATTACATGTAGGATGCGAAGAAACAGCATGTTTTTTTAGTTTAGACGAATAGAACTGTAGTAGAACTAGGCAAAAGTTGAATTTTCCAATTTTGTTTTCATACTTCCCTTTTGGGATTTTGAAGGCATTGCGGACGCAAAATGTTTGAATTGTTTTGCTCTGGTTGGGGATCTTTACAAAGAAAGTTTGCTCCGATTGTTAGCAACTTTAATGATATATTGTACATCAAAAATGCTATTTTTGAAACACTGTAGCTTAAGATTGTTAGAAATGCTATAAATGTTAGTGCTTTCGAACATTTTTCTCCTTATTTGGGTTTTTGTATATAATTTGGTAAATGTAGGCTTTATAGTCACTCCCTGAAACTGCACTCACTGCACAGTGTGAATCTGTTTACAATTTATTTCATGTTAACATTATTGTTGAATAAGTAGATTTGGATTTTTGTTCAATAAATTGAAATTACAATGATGGCTGAAAGCCAGAATTGTAGTAAAGGTTTTTGTTATTTTGGTGTCTTTCTATTTTATGTATAAGATTGCAATATTGACCGCGAAAACGGTGGTAGCATATTTACCAGGGTTTTTTTCAACGCTCGAAACTCAACTTTCAATTTATATTTTTGGAGGTAAATATTACAACCCAACTTTGTGCATAATTGGGAAAAGCTTAATCAGAGATTATGTTTTGAGGACGGGAATATTGGGCAATTTTAGGAGTTATTCATTTTCGGGGGAAGAAATGTGCAAAGGGTTCTAATGATATTATTTTTTTATTATTATTTGGGTTTATTATCGCCATTTAGCAGCTCAAAAGCTGAATTGCACAGTGATTTTCAATAAAAAGATAAAATGAATTAAAAAATAAACACATTTCACGAAAAATTAAAACTTACAAAATCCACAACAACAATCCATTATTCTAAAAAGATAAAACCACGCTTGGATAATAGTAATTAGAAAATAAGATTCTTACTGTCAGTTAGCAATGCAACACTGAAGCAAAACAAAAATCGGTAAAATACAAGTTTTACTAAACTAAAAAGTGACAAGAAGACCTGTCTTTTGACCGCAGTTTTTGGACGTCCATTTCAATTATTCGGAAATGAACCATTCAATGGAACTCCTAATTCATTAATTCTTTATCAGTTTTATCGTGTCTCATTAAAAATTGCATTATTATGTAAATCTCCATAAATATTAGATTTACGAAATACACTTATCATAATTGTTTTATTTTAGAGATAGTGTTGCCCTGTCAAAGTAGTTCGAAAATAAGTAATGAAAAAGAATGCTAGAATGCAGTTCACTCATATCATGATATGCAAGTCAAATCTCAGAAGAAACACAGCTATATTTTTGTCAGGAGAATAATTCCAGTTACGACTAAAAACAAAAGTTCAAACTTTTTTGTAAAGGGCTATCATGTCGGAACTTTCGGCAAAAGAAACTTTTTGTTTCTGTCCTTTCTTCGTGCAATTAGCTGGTTGTGTAGCAAGGTGGGGTTTTTTTGGGTATAGTTTCAAATATGTGCCAGGTTGGAGCGCCATCTCGTGAAATATCACAGGAAATTGCAGGCAAATATAAATTTTGGACAAATTTGACCTTTTATTGGGTTGAATGCGTATATGACTGCCTTCCAACAAAATATGAAACTAGTAGCCTCTCTCAGGAGACGTTTAACAATGTTTTTGTTTAATATTAGATCCATATTTTGCCAGGCTGATGATGCTGCTGGCGCGTTTACTTTTATCATCGAGGGCGCCCTCAATAGACGGCAGATTTTTTTCGCGCCGTGATCTGAATGCCTTGGTGAAGCATGATTTAGGGTGCGTTTTTCACAGGTAATTGTTACCATTTTCATCAGTACTGTTCCAATATAATTAACTGTATCTTTGTAACCTTCACGTGGAGGTGAAAGTGGGTCCCAAACTTATAAGATAACTTTGGTAATCCTTACTTTTAGGACACCTCTATATTGTACGAGTTCTGTTCAAAACTGACTTTTGCAGATGACTGT